CTTTATTTATAAAAATGAATATACATATGTGATAATTTCATATTATAACTAAATAATTAATCGAGGTTCTTAATAAATTGATAAATATCAATAGACAAATCATTATCTCTTTTAGCAATATATGACTCAAATTTCTTTATTTCGCCGCCTTTCAAATCTTCAATTTTAATGTTCCTAAAAGCCAAATAGTACTTAGTTCTTTTATCCACAATATATTCTTTTATGTAAGGTGAAATATCAACACCATAATCTTGTACATTATTAATAATTGATAATTTCTTAATAACAGTATTTTGAGAATTATTTTTGAAAACTTCAAAATCACTTATTCTAATATAAAGGATTAAATTTAAATATTCTAGTTTAGGAGGGAGGATTCGTCCTAAATTTCGTAATAAAATTGAACTACTATTATCTAAATGAGAAGTTTCACTGGCTTCAATAGTAAGATAATTAAGATTTGATTTAATATTTTCAACTAAATTGAGTACTAGATAAACAATCTCATCTTTAATTCCACAAATATCGAGAAATTTGATATTTTTACAATATTTTAGAACCGATTCGAGTATTTGTTGTTTTAATGATAGACCAGATTCAAGTCCAAGTTCGCCCTTGATATACTTTAAATGCCCGCACCCGAAATTCTCTAAATAATTACCATATTTTTGTAATAATAATAATAATGATTCATCAATTTGCGATCTATCATTTACAAACAAAGATTTTAATTTAAAAGGTTTGTTTAAATTAATTATTTGTTGAATAATATCAGTATTTAAAGGAGAACAATAAATGATATGAACAGATTCTAGAACATTTAATTGTTCAAACGCTTTATCTAGATTGATTATACCATTAAAATTGAAGCAAAATAATATAATTGTGTTTAAAGTATTTAAACAATTAGAACTTTCTGATTGTAACAATAGAGATTGATACAAAGAGAAATTATCATAACTTAATAAAATTTTTTTAAGATTTTGATGTAGATTAATTATTTGTAATACGCGATGTTTAATTGGCGTATCTTTGTTTTTGGGGGACGAGAAACCACGAGTTCTACCAGTATGAAGTTTTAAATATCTAATATTATTAATAAATTTTGTATTTTGTAAAATTAACCCAAGAATATCACCAAAATAAGAGATATGTTTACTATCAGTGAACTCAACGTCAAAAGTATGTAAATTTATTTCATTTTCAATAAATATTTTTAATAGTGACGTATGAACTAATCTTATAAAATCAGCATCTAAATTTAAAGATATGGTTTTTATAAAGTATCGTTTTCTGGGTTTCAAAGTTTTAACGGAAACTTCAACCCACTTATCAACAGAGAAAATAAATTCTTGTGTATTCAAATATCTTATGAAACTGGGATAATTAAAAAGTGTAGTCGAAGGTAGTAATTTGCCAATTCCATATCCATTTAATTTTGATTTTAAATTACCATTTAAATTATGTAAGTAAATTCCAATAAAGTTATAATTTCCGGTAGAAATTGAAAAAGGGTTTTCCCATAATAATGGCATGGCTAAACGACACCATAATCTGTTAACTAAGATACATGAATATAAAGTTGAATAATCATTACGAAGAAATTTTAAAACATCGTATGTTAACTCAGGTAAGTTTCCTGAAAATAGTTTTGAACAAGAAGGCATCGTAAGCGAAGAGAAAAAAGAAAGGTATTTGTGTATCACATTTCACGACCGGATAAATTATATTAATTTTGGGAATGGTGATTTCCGATATTGTCGTACAATTCGTAATTATTAATTTGTGTAACATGTTTAATAGTTATGAATCATTAGGCATAATAAGGTCACGATTTACAACATATCATTCCGGTCAAAATAGTGTTTGGCCATAGTCAAAAACCCGTCTTATTTGTTTTTACGTTTTACTTATTAAAACATATTTGTATTTTTCTCAAAACTTTCTGAACAGCCTTTTGAACTAGGAGAAACTTATTCTATACATAGATTTACATATTTATTTAGCTTCATTTTCAATTAAAAGTTTTTAAATCTATCACAATCAATAAGCTGATTAACTTTTTTCCTATAAAAAATTTATTCCGTGTTTTTTATTCCATATTTATTCTGCAAAATATTAACGGAATTTATAGCCCCAAAACATGGAAATTATCTGATTTTTAGTTATTTTCCCGTAAATGTATCATATTCACGGAGTTTTTACGGATAAAATTTTTTAAATCCTCTTTGTTAAATATAATTAGTAATTTAGTGTATTAAGTACAGTTGATTCTAATAGAATGATACATATGATATTTTGATCATCATCAATTAAGAAATACCAGATAATGATAAATTATTCAATTAACCTAATTATCGAATATATATATTTTTTGAATGAAAATTTCTTTTCTCTATAGGAATGATAATTATTACACTATTATTGAAAGAGTTATAATTTGTTGTACTAAGTTTTTTTTTTTTCGAAGGATGAAGGAATTCAAGTCACATAATATTAGTCCATATCTCAAAGATTGAAATTGATAATTTTATAAAGGAAATTATTGATTATTTAATAATGATTTAGAAATAATAGAAAATAATGATCTTTTGCTTATAAATTTACTCATTATATATATAAAATTTCCAAATATTAATTTTTAGATTGTTGAAAAATTTTTATTATTCATGAAAGACAATATATACATATATATATATGGTTCAAAAACTGAATCAATAATATGAACAAATACGAAATATGTGTTGGCATTGTCACAAATTTACGCAGATTAAGTTTATCAAATATGTCTAATTTTTCCATTATGTGATTTTAGATTAGTTGTAATGCTGGATGTATAGATTCTACTAGTATCCATTAGGATGTCAAAACCGGATCACGCAAGTAAATGACAGAAGGAGTTCAATAGTGTAGAAAATAATTTTTAATTAGGGGCTTACAGGGTAGTCAATTTTTCAACAATTGTACGCTTATTAAATGAGTTTAATAAAGAAGATTTAAAAAAGATTAATGGACTTCTTGTTGCTAAACCCGAAATAAAGAATCAAATCATAATAATAGGTTATTCTTGGTCAAAAAGGTTGTTGTTAAGATAGTTTTTGAGAAAACCCGCAAAATTTGGTTTCAAAAATGTTTGAACACCAGTTCATTTGTGCTCCGAAGATAATACGCAGCCATACGCACGTGATCGGCAGTAAGTCTGGCCATATTTATAATTCCAGCCGGAATTAAAAATATATCCTAATATGGAAATTTGTGTAGCACACCCGTAATATCGGATATGTACATTACACTAATTTCCAAGTTAGGAAATATTTTAATTTCGGCCGGAATTATAAATTTTGCCAGAATTACTGTCAATCAGTTATGATGATTGAATGACTACGTATGAAAAATTCATTGGAGAAAAAATGAATTTGGTGGCTCAATATTTTTGCAATTAGATGCAATGAACAAAAAAGTAAAAGCAAAAATTTTAACTCTGCCAACTATAATTCTTGACGGAATTGAGTGATAAACGTGCTTGTAAGAATGAAAGTGTTACAAAAATTTCTTTTAGTTTGGTTTTTTTTATTAAATCTTATGTATACTATTACTAATAAATAAATAAAAAATAAAAGTGTTACAAAAATAAATAATAAGTAATATCCTGGCTAATTAGGAATAAGTAAAATTTTTACTTTAGAATTGGCCTATCGGCCGATCATTTATCCGATTCTACTAAATTTTACTTATTCCTAATTTATCCAGGATATTTATACTTACAAAAAAATATGTAAATCGTGACTTTATCAGTATTACAACTAGTTATTTATATCACACACAATAATTGTGCGACAATATCGGAAATCAAATTAATGCAATTTATCCGGCCGTGAAATGTGATACACAATTACCTTTCTTTTTTTTTTCTCTTCGTTAAAATGTCATGTTCGAAACTAGGAAACTTACCTGAATTAACTTATGATGTTATAAAATATTTTCAAAATGATTATTCAACCTTACATTCATGTGTTTTAGTTAACAGATTATGGTGTCGTTTAGCGATTCCATTATTATGGGAAAATCCTTTTTCAATTCCTACTGAAAATTATAACTTTATTGAAATTTACCTACATAATTTAAATGGTGAATTAAAAACAAAATTTAATGAACATGAAATTAATGAAATTCTGTTACCTTCCAACACACTTTTCAATTATCCTAGTTTTATAAAATATTTGGATTTGTTGAAGTTTTCTACTTCTGTTCGAAAGTGGTTTTATAATGCTAAAATTATAAATTTAAAATTGGTAGAAGATACTAAAAAACTAATTACTATATCATTATTAAAAATATTTATTGAAAATGAAGTAAATTTACATACCTTTGAAATTAATATAAATAATTATATCATATATATTGAAGATATTCTTGAGTTAACCTTACAAAATCCAAATTTCATTCGAAATATTAAAAATTTAAAAATTTCTATTTTAACGAGATTTAGGAATAATGGTTCGCTAATTGACAATCTTATATTACAAGTAATTAAATTACATCAAAATCTTAAAAAAGTTATATTAAGTTATTATAATCTTCCTTTTTATCAATCTTTATTATTATCAAAAGATTATAATTGTTCAAATACTTTAAATATTATCACATTATACCATGTTAATTTTAAAGGTATAATCAATTTAAGTAAAATTTTTGAACAATTAAACGTATTAGAATCTGTTCATATAATTCATTGTGAGAATTTAAATACTAGTTTTATTCAACAAATTCTTAATTTAACCAAACCATTTAAATTAAAATCCTTATTCATAAATGCAATATCAAACATTGATGAATCATCATTATTATTATTACAAAAATCTGGTGGTTATTTAAAAAATTTCAGTGTCGATCGTTTAACATATTTCGAGAGCGAACTTATACAACAAATACTTGCATTAGTTATGAAATATTGTAAAAATATCGAATTTCTTGGTATTTATGGAATCACATATGAGAATGTTTATCCAGTACTCAATTTGATTGAAAATATAAAACAAAATCTTAATTGTCTTTCCGTCAGCTGCGTATTAGATAATAGTACTAGTTCAATTTTATTACAAAATTTAGGACAAATCCTTCCTTCAAAATTAGAATATTTAGATTTGACTCTTGGTATTGAAATAAGTGATTTTAAAGTATTCCTAAAAAATACCCAAGGTACTTTTATTAAGAAGTTGTTAATTAGAGATTCAATAAGGAAAGCTAATTATAATCTTTTACGTCATTTAAAAAAATATATAATGAAGGAGAAAAGAGTCAGGTATTTGAATTTTAGGAATCTTCATAAGGAATTGTTTGATTATAGAGATATAGTGAAAGAATTTAAGTCACATAATGTTAGAGTTCAAAAATACAATGATTTACACTTCGACATGTATCAATTTATGCAAAAACTTGATTAATTATTTAATTATCATTTAATAAATAAAGTTTCTTTATATGTTTATTTATTCTAGTTAAAAATATGATGATTAACAACTATAAAAAATTTGTTTGACATTTATATAAATAATTTGAATTATGTAACATAAAACCAGTGCATGAAATACTAATGATTTCTTTCATTTATTCAATTTTATTTTTTTTTTATTAAACCATATATTTTATTAAACCTATATTTGAGATCCTTAAAAAAAAGTAATTATAATTCTTCTCTTACTAGATATAACTTTTTTAGTAGAAATAATAAATTAAATGGTTCTTATAATCTTATATGTTTGATTGTAAAAAGTAGTTATTTTCAATTGAATTTATTTTAAATAAACGACGCGAAAAATATGAACATGTAAGATTTTTATAATAACTACAAATTAATAGTCTAGTAAATAGTATACAATCTTTTTAAAGTTTTGGATTTTTGTTTTGAAACATAATTCTTTCTTTCATTTTAATTTATTAATTATATTATATTCACTCTTCAATATAAATAATTCATGCTACAAAATAATAGAGTAACATTTGTAATGATATGCACAAACGGTTCTTGCTAATAAATTCTTACAAATTAAGCAATAATATTATTAACTAAACATTATGATGATCAAGATAAGGTTATTTTTAATTAAGACAAAAAGAATTTGCGAAAATTGTAACCATGAATGCTTAGCCACATTATATTGTCTGAAATTATTTAAAAGAAAATTTTTAAATTGTACATCTTAAAAAATGATGATATTGATAATTTAATAGAGAAATGTCAAATGGTATCACTCATGCTAAATATGGTGGCTTCATGTAGTAATTTAGAAAATATTAAATATTTAACAAAAGGTATATTCTCAGAACTTGTTTGTAAAAATAAAAGTGTTACAAAATAAATAAGTAGAATCACAAAAAAAAATATGTAAATCGTGATTTTATCAATATCACAACTAGTATAACAACTATTTACTCACTAGTTACAGTATTAAACATGGGGGAATCTTACCACACTACCCTGTCATAATATAAATAGCATTTTAAACGATTAAACGTCGGTAGTAATACAGCAGGTGACATGACAAATAGAGATCAGGCTAGTAAAAAAAAGCCCCCCTCAAAAACATAATAAAAAACGTAAACAGGTCATCACATGACGATGTGACAAATACATTACAGGGTAATGTGGTAAGATTTTCCTTAAATATGTTACATAATAATTGTGCGACAATATCGGAAATCAAATTAATATAAATTATCCGGTCGTGAAATGTGATACACAATTACCTTTCTTTTTTTCTCTTCATTTAAAATGTCATGTTCGAAACTAGGAAACTTACCTGAATTAACTTATGAAGTTATAAAATATTTGCAGAATGATTATTCAACCTTACATTCATGTGTTTTAGTTAACAGATTATGGTGTCGTTTAGCGATTCCATTATTATGGGAAAATCCTTTTTCAATTCCTACTGAAAATTATAACTTTATTGAAATTTACCTACATAATTTAAATGGTGAATTAAAAACAAAATTTAATGAACATGAAATTAATGAAATTCTGTTACCTTCCAACACACTTTTCAATTATCCTAGTTTTATAAAATATTTGGATTTGTTGAAGTTTTCTACTTCTGTTCGAAAGTGGTTTTATAATGCTAAAATTATAAATTTAAAATTGGTAGAAGATACTAAAAAACTAATTACTATATCATTATTAAAAATATTTATTGAAAATGAAGTAAATTTACATACCTTTGAAATTAATATAAATAATTATATCATATATATTGAAGATATTCTTGAGTTAACCTTACAAAATCCAAATTTCATTCGAAATATTAAAAATTTAAAAATTTCTATTTTAACGAGATTTAGGAATAATGGTTCGCTAATTGACAATCTTATATTACAAGTAATTAAATTACATCAAAATCTTAAAAAAGTTATATTAAGTTATTATAATCTTCCTTTTTATCAATCTTTATTATTATCAAAAGATTATAATTGTTCAAATACTTTAAATATTATCACATTATACCAAGTTAATTTTAGCGGTATAAATAAAATTTTTGAACAATTAAACGTTTTAGAATCTGTTCATATAATTCATTGTGAGAATTTAAATACTAGTTTTATTCAACAAATTCTTAATTTAACCAAACCATTTAAATTAAAATCCTTATTCATAAATACAATATCAAACATTGATGAATCATTATTATTATTATTACAAAAATCTGGTGGTTATTTAAAAAATTTCAGTGTC